TTTATAGGGAAGCTAAAAAGTGATGTAGTAAAGCTCCGGCGGTTGGTGAATGATCAATACCAATCATTAGTTAACTCACTCTCAACACTGATCAATGTAGTAACCACTGATGACATTGGTAAAACCACCACACCAAGGACTAACACAGGTACTGTACATAATACCTGTACTGTAGGTGGATGTTTGATTGCATATACACATAGATGAGATTGGGTGGGCGTATGTGTTATTATTTATCAGTGCAACAATGATTTACAATCATTTACCTAACCTCGCTGGAATACATTTCAGTTCCATGTCAATGAGATACTTGTTAAGCAATTTGTGTTACTATAAACTTACCGAGTCTTCTTACTGAGTGCTAGCTATACATGTACATGCACAGAGGACTACCATTCAGTTTTAATTATTGTGATGAACTACCATCCTTACCTTAATAATAATGATAAATATTTTAACTTTCTGTTTTTAAGTATATTTGGTATCATTGTCCAATTAATCATAACATAATTGGCACTGATGTTAATATTTGTATTTGGTTTCATTTATAGGTTTGTGGCTTCTGGTCCTATCGAGTGATGATGGACATAACTCGATTGTAAATGTTGCCAAGTCACTTTGTGAAGAGGCACAGGCTTCATCAATAAAACCACATGTAGATATTCCTATCATCAGCAGCAAAATATCCAGTAAGAATTAAGAGAAAATAATAAATATTTTGCACATTAATAATGACAATGATGATAATAGTATTTTTATTATTTTAAAAATAGTATCGAATTTCCTACCAGATCCTGATTTAGCAATTGTATGTGGCAGTACCAAGTCATTATTGGGATATCCTCCATGGACATCTCCACTAACAGAAATAATGTAAGCAAGTTTGAAATACACTGTATTCATTTGCAATCAATTGTTAAATTAGGTGGCTATCTTCTCATTATAAATGCAGCTACTTTGAATTTCATTCTGTCCTGTATCAATATGCACAGAGTCAACAGAGATATGGGAAATAACATTTAGTCGGACAATATTAAATTTAAAATAATTACAGTCGACGATTATTTAATTTCTTATTTTTGTGGTTTCATGTTAATAAATTATTTTGATTACCAGCTATAAATTAACAACAGATTCATTCAGCAGTATTGATCTTCTTTTCTAAGTGCCAATGAATCAACATCTCTTAATAATCAATGGAAAATAACTAGAAATCAACCAGAAAATATTAGATACATACATAAAGTCAACAAAATAATAGCATAGTAAACAAATTAATTCGTTAGTTAAATTGGTTCACATTTCAATCCTCCTCATCATCTTGAATAATACCAATGAGTGGTTCCCGATCACCTTCATTGGGTAATTCTGTCCTCCTAATTGATCTTGAAGGCTTAAGCCTATGCTTACATTGTAAACAGAATATACCAATGGAGCCTACCACCACATATAGCAGTGGAATTAATGTCATCATGTGCACCAGTACGCTAGTATAGATT